ACCACTATACCAGGTAAGGATAAGGTGCCCGTTAACATATTTAACATTACCACATTCTGTATGTATAAATAAAAAGATGTGGTATGAGTGCCAATGAGACAACTATCCATCCATTCTGTATGTGCCTGTCCCAAGTTAGGAGTCTGTAGTTCATTGGTTGTCGTTTGTGGCTGTATATCTTATTTGATTTTCGTTTATTCTTTTGTATGTAAATCAGGTCGTTCGTTTTTCTCGTTTAAAATATTTAACATTTGTCATTTCGGTGCCTTTAATAGCAAGCAATGCGGTATGGGTTTTGCTCCTTGTGGAAAGTCGTACGGTGACCTATACATTTAGTTACTAAGTTTTTCGTGTTGAACATTGTTGAAATGATTCAAACGAGATTATGTGCATTGGTTTGTCATATATTATGTATTCCTCATTCATGCATTAAATAGTTGTTAGATGATTTTAAAAATGCTAATCTTTATTTGCGAGAATATTTTTAGCCAAACAAAGTCCAATACTTGTCAAGAAAACATAAAAAGACTGAGGCAGGTGAGCTGAACAGATCAAAAACCATGGCCGTGAAACAGTGGCTTTCATCGGTGAGAGCTAAAAGAAATATCTGCGGGTGTCAATAGTCCAACAGTAACTGATGATACTGCGGGAGCACCTTTCGTCCCTCCATATAAAAATAAAGAGATGTGGTATGATTGCCATTAATGAGACAACTATCCACCAAAGTTCAAATGAAGTGGATGTGAGCAATTAAAGGCAACCATACGGCCATCAACAATCAGAAAAACGCATACTGTATAGTCGGCTTGTACAGGCCCCGACATGAAAAATATGAAACAATTCAATTGAGAAAACTAAAGGCCTAATTTATAACAAAGTAATTTACGAAAACCAAATATGACAGACATGTACCAACGACAACCACTGAACTACAGACTCCTGGCTTGGGTCAGGCACATAAAGAATGTGGCTGGGTTAAACATGTTTGAGAGCGCTGAACCTGGGACATTGAGCTTACAGCACAACATAAGAACAAACTATAAAAATCAGTTGAAAAGAGCTTAACTAATCAGATCGATACAAAGCAGAAAAAAATCTACAAAAAACACAGACCGGACGTGGCAGGGTATTTATACATCCCTAACAACAAAAAAGACACAAAGAACAGATCTGAGAGTACTCGCTGTTACTGACAACTAGTTCAAAGCCAATAACAACTTATAAAAAAATCATGTATCTAAGACTAACATAGCAATCAGTACACATTCGACATCCAATGGGTTTATTGGAAAGACGTCATTAACAGTCAGAGAAAAAACAAGACCTTGTGCAATTACAAAATATAGATATCGACCATTTGTAGTACCGTGAAAGTGCATATGTGTATAACAATAGTATTAAGTATGGTTTTAATTTACTGATAACAAAATCAATATTTATACCAATAAAAACCATATTCAAAGATCTAATTACAATGTTGATTTGGTAACCTTTTAGAATAATTATAAAAATAAGAAGATGTGGTATGACTGCCAATAAGACAACTCTCCACAAGAGACCAAATGGCCCAGAAATTAACAACTATAGGTCACCGTATGGCCTTCAACAATGAGTAAAACCCATACCGCATAGTCAGCTATTAAAGGCCACGAAATGACAAATTTAGAACAATTCAAACGAGAAAACTAACGGTCTGATTTAGAAAGAAAAGAAGTTAGCAGTATCCTTTAACTTCACTTTCCGTTATATAGATGATGTTCTCTCACTAAATAATTCAAAATTTGGTGACTATGTTGAACGCATCTATCCCATCGAACTTGAGATAAAGGATACAACAGATACAGTTAAGTCTGCCTAATATCTTGACCTACATTTAGAAATTGACAATGATGGTCGGTTGAAAACAAAACTTTACGACAAAAGAGTTTATTTTTGCTTCCCAAGTGTGAACTTTCCATTTCTATGTAGCAACATTCCAGCAGCGCCTGCAAACGGAGTATAAATCTCCCAGTTGATACGATATTCTAGGGTTTGTATTTACTATCATGATTTCGTTGCTGCTCACAAGGAAGCTATGAAACCAAGATTTCCAAGTGGTGAAGTTGAAATCGTCCCTTCGTTAATTTTACGGACGCCATCACGAGTTGGTTGACTGTTATGGAATATCCGTTTCACAAATGACAACGGATATGTTCCAATTGTCGTAAGTACAGTCCCGTCCCCTTTTCCCCAAATGACCTACCGAATTAGACTTAACCCCCCGTTTGTACTAATATGATCTACACAACGGGTGCCACATGTGGAGCAGGATCTGCTTACCCTTCCGGAGCACCTCAGATCACCCCCATTTTTTGGTGGGGTTCGCGTTGCTCAGACTTTTTTCTTCAATTGATGGACTACGGTTGCCCTTGGTATTTAGTAGTTTGTGTAGTATTTATGGACTGTTGTTGTTTTTTTATTTTCATTTTTTTTTCATTATGGTTTCTGATTGATCCTTTGCATCTTCTTACTTCTTTTTTCTCAACCTAACACACCACTTTTAACATTTTATATGATGTGTGAATCTACTCTACTCTTCTACTTTAACTTAAGTTTTATATATAGAATCTCATACAATAAAATTGAGAATGGAAAAGTTTGTATGTATCATAAACATTATAAATGAATCGTGTAAATATTATTATATTTAATATTGTGAGAGCCGATTTTCACGTTTGCGAGTAATATTACCGTAAAAATCTGTTGTAACTAAAAGTAATGAGAATTTTGTGTACTAACGTAAGAAAAAGTGTTCCCTTTCAAAAAAGGAAAACATTACTTAATCAACAACACGCATGCCAAATGAGACTATTGGGGAAAAACAGGTGCAACTTCCGAGTTCCCATTGCACAAGTTAAGTGGACTTCTGCGTCTTTTCGTTTATTGCCATTGCGTTGTCCGTTTTTCTTCGACTTTTTATTTTTGAATGTCCCCTTGATATCTTCCGCCTCTTCGTTTTTTATATATAAATAAGAAGATGTGGTATGAGTGCCAATGAGACAACTCTCCATCCAAGTCAAAATGTATAAAAAGTTAACAATTATAGGTCAAAGTACGGCCTTCAACACGGAGCCTTGGCTCACACCGAACAACAAGCTATATGTATATTTGCATGTGCGTTATTACTTTGTTTTGTAGTTCGTAATCATAATAATCGAATAAGATTATTATGCAAATATCAGATGTAATTAACAGAAATGGAAGATTCAAGATTTCCGACGTTACAAAAGAGGAAACAGAATTTCCGATGTTACAAATAGATACACAAAAGACAACACACGAAACAAATGAACCATGATAAAAAATTAAACATCTTAAAGTTTAAAAATCGAAGACATAAGCTTAATACGGGACGGCATTTTTTGTGCGCGGATGGGATGAAATGTGTGCAATGCTTCGCATGAGATACCCATAGCATTGAGATGCCAATAATAAGCTCGATAAAAAAATAATAGGATTGTCAGAGTTTCACCTTTTTTAATCGTCCAAAATGTTTTAAAATAGCAGTATTTGGCTATCATATCGCCCATCCGCTTTTCAATACCTTTAAGACTTTGAGTTGAACATTTTTATTTATAAATGATATATTCTGACATTGTGAAAGAATACCTGACCACCTTGTCTCCTAATATATCTATAAACAACTTGAACTGATAAATATCATAAATAACAAAAATATAATGCTAGGTGATAATTACTTAAAAAAAACGACCGTCTAGATGTAATGATACTAGCGAAATCTTTATCCCAAATTGCAAAATGATGATCACAATTTGTAGAGGTGGAAACGGTTGAAAACTTCTGGCACATTCTGCTAAGTGCGCATTCCACTTCTACTGTGTTGCACTACCTATGGATTGATTCTTTACGTCATTGGCAATAGTTTTCTTCATTTTATCCGTAGAAGGTTGTTATTTTAAAGGACATATAGGCACTATGATAGTTTTAGCGAAGAATATAATCAAAAGATAGAAAAGAAACACGTTTCGCTATGTACAAATTCTGCAAATTCAATATACGAAATTAGCTCCTAAATGCATTTTCAACCGTTCAAAATAGTTTGAAAGCTCTTGCTTCATAAAGTGATTACTTCTATCCTGCAAAAATTGGCAAAGTTTCACTATCTAGAAAATAAGCGTGTATCTTCAATGGATATACAAACAATCTAAGACGTTTGAAGGCACTTCTCTCACAAACTGTAGTGAGAGTTCATTGTACAAATCAAGTGCCATTTTCTCTCTCCACCCGCTCTCTTAAGTCCAATTTTGTCAACGATTAAAAATGTCGAAGAAAATTATATTAAAAAAAAACGAATGAGCACCATGACCCCAACTTTTTATAGGTATAATAAGCATAAATTGATGCACTTAGCCGCATGTTAAAAATAAGGTCCTAATAGGCAGAATGTCAACTTTTTATATTTTTTAGAATTTGTCAAATATAGTATTTATTACTAGAATTTATTCGTTGATTATTTCCCACACTTTGAACTATTAATGTAGATAAATCTTCCGTTAATTTCAACTTTGGTCCACTATAAGTATATTAAAAATAACAATAATGCATTATTTTGAAATAGAAAGTCAACTTGATCTACAATTTGATTGTTGTCGTGTTCTATAATACTTAGGTTTAAATGGTATTTGAATAGTCCTCGCGGTTCATTTAACAAAAAAACTCAATATCTAAAAATTATTGACTTGGTTATAACAGATCAAGAAATAGAAAGAGTCACGAATTACGAGCTCTTTTGTTTTTTTATGAAAGTTTTGTTTTTCCAGTTAGGTGAATAATATGGAAGAAACAATGAGTGTTTTTTTATTGTTTGGTAATAAACACTAGGAAACATTTAGTTCGTCGACTCTGTGTCACTTTAGGTTAAGAAAATTAACCTATGGATTACAATAACGGGCGTTACTGAACCGCAGTATTCCTTTTGTATTTAATTTCATTTCGGTTTTTATTGCTTATGTTCGTTTCATACACGATGCACAGAAAACTCAATTGAATGATTTAAATTCAAATATACAGGATTATTAGTGACTTCCAACGAAATTAAACAATTAATTCTTGTGACGTGCAGTGAATAGTGTCTAATTAATTGGAAATTTTATAACGGCACTGTCCACAGTATTATCCAAACGCTTTAGTTGACAGTAAACTATATTGAGAAAAATGTTATTGAAATAACATAAGTTAGTATTTGATAAATCCGTAAAGGGCGTGAAATAAATATTTGACGAGCTGAAATAATCAATCCAGCATCAATTGTCGGATATATATTTTTTACCTGACATCTGAATAATAAATTTCCAGGATCAATGTTATTCTAGTTCTACATGTCACACGGCGTGATGTACAATTCGTAAAATTGATAGCAGCCGACTGCAATATGGATTTACGATGCAAGAATCACCTGAACAGAAAATTGTTTTATTAAGAGGATTATTTTCTACAAATCGTTGGAACATCATTGTACTTCATTAAATATACCTTACAATAGCCGTGCTTTGGTGACGACAATATTTTCACCAACGGGTGAAGAAAGGGGAAATTGCAATATCAGGCTTCGTCGACTTGGGATGCATTTTATACTTATTAAGGACATTTGAATAGGTAGGAGTCAGATATCTGCAATATATCCTAATGTATGGTGCAGTGTAGCGAATTAATACCCTGGACTATTTATATTTTCACTTGACACGATGACAGTCGTACAATACCGAACGATATGTTTTTCAGACCGAACAAAAGATTAGTTAACATCGTTTTAAATGTACATGATTTTTAAGCCACACGATACGATAATTATTTCATACAGCATTTATTAAACATTGAAACAAGGTGAAAAAGCCAGAATAAAAATGAAAAGTAGGAAAATGAAAGAAATGAAAAAATTAAAATTAAAGCATCATACTGGCAATGACAGAAATGGAAAATGTGAGTGTGGGTTAGAGAGTATATTGCCTGAACTGTTACCATGGTATTTGTTCGTCATAGTGCTGTGTATCAGGATTCATTATGTTCTTCAACCAAAAAACTGGTGGCTGCTTCATCCAGATGAAATATTCCAATCAGTTGAAGGTATGAATTACATTTATCACGTCATAATTTTACATCCCGTACAGTGGCATTGCATTTGGGTTCGTGCAAGTAGTTGTTTATGAAATGGTTTAAAACTATCAGACTAAGATACTAGAACGTCTTTAAGGGGTATACTAGTAGATAAGTTAAATGGCAAATCGAATTGTGCAAGTAAAATACAAACATGCAATATCTTTCATGGATTGACTAAACTATGGTTCGTCAATTGAAAAATCATTTATGTATTTCATTCAAGGTTTTTAAGTGGTAGGGTATTCTCACGGATGAAAAAAGAAAATAAAAAAAATAATAAGAGGGAGAATTCTCCTAGACAGAAAAAAACAACTTTTGTGGTTATATGACGGACTTATGTCCATTTGCACAATATTCCAGACCTTGCATTTCCTATCATAATTTCTTTGATGAAGGTCTGCTGCTAACAAGGAATCTATTGAACCAAAGGTTCCAAGTGGTAAGGTTGAAGTCATCACAGGTTACTAGTTCGGTGTTTTTGTTATACTTTTTTTATAATCCACAACGGTCACTGATAATGAATAGAGACTCTACTATTGTCATTAACTCTTAAGACTTGACTATAATTATGTTTGAAGTAATTTAGGCATATATTACATATAGTAGCATACTAACATAAGCTATTGTTATTGACGATATATAAATGACTCCAAAATTTTAAAGTAAATACAAGTCTTTTTATATGAATCCAAAAATCATGCATACAATGGACACATAAAGAACATACTTTAGTATAAAAATTTTAATATAAAAAAGGACTAAGTTCGTACTACATTCCTTCCTTTTAATTGATAAGTATCAAAGGTCGACCATACAATTCGAATTGAACAGCTCCTTTTCATTTAATGAGTTTATAGGTTTATGTACACAACAGGTCAATATTATTATTAAAACTGTCCACATATGTTGTCTGTATATTAAACTTTAAATACTCCAAAACTAAAAAGCATGAAATTGGTACACAAAAATTGTTATTGTTTACATAAAATTTTACTGAAGTGAAAACTTTTAATTTTAATTGTCTTCGGGTGATCAATATTATCTTAATGAAATCTGATACCCATTCGAATCAGTTTGTATTGTGGTTTTCGTCAGTCAAGTATGAATTTGTTTCATGTCGTCAGTTTAGTTCACAAATAATTGTTTAACGGTTTGGATAATACAAAAAAACAAAATGGTCATTGATTTCTAATTGTTTCTCTAATTTATTGATCTAAGAATTTCAAATAAAAAATGATTACAGGTTTTTTTCTTATTTGCATTTCTTTTTAAGGTATCTTCACTGAAATTATTAGTTTCATATTTCCAATGCTCATGTGAAACATTTTGGGTCGAGTTTTAGTTTCGTTTCAAATATTTTATATATCCACAAATTGTGTCTTTTGCATGTATTCCCAAAATAAATTAAATACAGATTGCATGTAATTCGCGTATATTTAGAAAACTGCATTCTTATTTGTAGTATTATTTCAGAGTTAACATATTCCATGATAATTATGATACTGCAAGCTCTTTTGAGAGTGTTCAGATTGGAGTAGGATATCCTGCTTATAGGCTCTTCCTTGTACTCATTCATTTTGCTGGTTTACAAAATGTTAGTCCTCTCGTAGGTAATCTGTACATGGGGATAGTGTACCCTTTGAATACCTCATTATTCATAAACGTTTTATTTTTAATTTTTATAAAAAAAAATTTGAAGCCAAAGCATTGACAAATGGATAAATGATTTAGAGCTTGACATTTTGAATGAACATCTGTCTGTTAGTGAATATAAAATAAGGGAATGTGGTATGATTGTCGATGAGACAATACTGGATGTTGCCTTCGAGATGTCTATTGGGGTTTTTTTCTCTTTCGGTTGCTGTCTATTTGACGTATATCCACACCCCTTTTATTAAAGTGATATTTGGAGTACAAACTGGTAACTATAACCGATAGTATTTTAAATAAACTCTCATCATTGAAATTTTGTACGCCAGACGCGCGTTTTGTCTACAAATACAAGACTTTAAGTGACGATCGAATAAAAAAAGTTAAAAAGGCTAAAAAAAAATACGAAGTTAAAGACAAGAACTGTGGGTTTACCATCGAAATCAAATCCTTGTACCATAAAAACCGTTTTAAAAAACTTAGGTGGCAAGCACGGCATTACTCTTAATATTTTATGTTTTAATTAAATGTTTACGACTGAATATACATCCTGAATACTTAATTCAATTTATATTTTTATGTTATCACAATAATGTAGTATAACATATCTTTACCATTACATTAAAATTTGCGATTAAATCCTTTGAATTTTTACTGTAGAAATAAACAACCATGACTAAAAAACGAGTATTGTCTTTCGAGAAGTCAATTCTATAAAAAGTTGTTTTCTTTTGTTTTTTAAATTGTAGAAATTTTGAATTATTCGTAGTCACAAATTATGAAATCAAAGTATTAATTTAAAGGTTTTTTTAAGTGGGGATTGTACGAATGACTTACCCTTATTCATAAAAAAAATAAGAAGATGTGGTACGATTGCCAATGAGACAACTAAAACGCCTGATGCGAGACAACTAAAACGCCTGATACGAGGGATGCATACAGCTATTTGCCAGAAATAAACACTAAATCCTACAAAAAATTATTATTCAAACGATTTTATTGCTTGGTAGTGAACTAAACTGATAACTATTAGTAATATTTCCTACATGTAAATTATCTTTACTGACGATTTTACTACGTTCCTAAATTGACTAGCAAATGAACACGTGGCGGGGTTAAACACGCTTTTTATCTCAACTCTTTCTCTGTTCAATCTCGAATGAAGTAAAATCAGTACACATAAATTCTATCTGATTGGCTGATTTATAAACACATCTGACAAAACTAGAGTTCTTTCCTTTAATAACACATGTATACATCATAATGGTTTGTTGGTCTTGAAATATGGGCAGTCAGGATTCTACTTCGTCAAAATTATCTCCGCATTACGCCAGTCCTTTTTTACAAGCGTAAAAATGGAAGCCATTGTAGGGATGACGCGCTGTCAATTTAGCTCTTGAAAACCGATAAATTTATCCACATAGCACCATTACGATCCTTATATGCCAGTTGTATTTTAAAAGACAAATGTATCTACTAGCTTACGAGCATCAGTTAATGTACTTGTCTGAATTCAGTCAACTTAAAACTATTGTCTGATCAGTTGTCAGGTGGAATTTTCGAAAATTCATATACATTTAAAAAAAATTCTAATTCAATATTTCGTGGAAGGGCAGACTAAAAATTTTCAGTGGTTGAAGACTATAAACCCTAGATATCACACACAAAAAATGAAGTTTTTTCGAAGATATGCATTTTTAAGATCCAACTTAAAAGTCTGTCGTCAAGTACTTTTAGTAAAAATTTGCTATTCAAACACACCTACTCTGTTTTTTGTGATTCATTAAAAAGGTATTTCACTTGACCCATATATTTCATTTTTTAAGTACTGTGAATTTTCGATGTTATAAAGTCAACATGTAGCCTTCATATATAAAAATGATAGAATCTGAAGCGAGATGATGTATCAAATACTTTTGCTTTTTACGTTTTCAAGACAAAATATTCAACTCAAACACGCCCTCACATAAAAAGGTGCACTCGATTTTCTCTATTCGATGCAATTGTTACCCATTTTTTGGAATTATTTCTTGAGTCACATAATGGAAGGGCAGAAACGAAAATTAAGGAACAAATAGATTAATATGTTCTTCGTCCGTGGTATTATTTTTTTTTAAATCGGAGGTTATGCATTTTTTAGATCCAACTGAATTGACACCCATGTCGTCGACTTGATATCTTATTGTTCTGCTTAATTATGTAATAGATAAATTGAAAACTTATGCAAATGGTGTTTTTATAATAAAATACTTCGTAATTTAGCCGAAAACTGTCATTTTATTTGTTTCTTTTAACTTTTAAAATTTTTGTTACTATAGTAAACATTACAGTAAGCATTTATCGCCTTCTCTAACAAAGAGCTTCGATTCTTTTGTTCTATTTCAACTGGGTTTCCGCCTGTGGGTATTTAATTATATGATATATTGACTACAAACGTTTTGGATAAATCGGTCAACCGACCCGGAGAAATATATTTCTGTAGCCGTAAAAATATATCAATTTTAAACAATATATTTATATAATCCGATTTTCAAAACATTGACTCGAACTTTAACATACTCCGACATAGCTCTTTGCGCTTAACATTATCGATTGATTGTTGTCTGCTGAACGTGAAGTTGTAATTATTTCATGCGTATTCAGAACGAGAAACCATTATAAATTAGTACAAATCGAATACCGACTAGTATTGAAGGGAGGGGAATTAGGACTGCCACTGGTAATGAGTGTTTGTTGAAAAGGGGGCAGAAATATAGCACTGTAGCCGGTCACGTACGGACCCTTCAAATAGTCATTGCAAGCTTTTTTTTCTAACTTGCAGAGAGCGTGACACTCTTTCTCTACACAACACATCTTGGCTGCGTATTTTATACATCCCGTACTGCAAAGGATTTTAATGCTGGAAAGGGAATATTCTAGATGGCAATATTTCTATAATCAAGTCATTTCTTGGGGTTAAATTTTTTTTACTGAATTGTGTGAAATGATTTGATTGTTGTTTTTATATGTAATAAAATTTGGGAAATTAATAATTTTTAAATATTATTTAGTGCACGTCGATAATCTTTTCCACAAAAATAATATATTGCTTTACTACAGAAGCGTTAATTTATATTTGTGTTACTAGTATTAAAAGGAGATGTATTGTATCTTTAATGATACAACAGAACTTAATATATTAAATCAAAAAAGACTATTCAAGTTAAAATAAGGTCTTAGGCCATACCATATGTCAACCGTTTGGGTTCAAACATGGTTGTGAATAAATATAACAGACATTATGAAATATCTGTCACCAACACCAGATTTCCTATAAAATGATGATATAACTTAAGCCAACCACCGACGGGGTTCCTGGTGTAGGACATTTGGCAGCATTAAAACAACATGTTAGCATTCACCCCCCCCCCCCCCCCCTCTTTTTAAAACTCGATCAATTGAATAACAAAATCATCACGAGGCAAAAATCAACCAAGAGATAACAAAAAGTCATAGTATCATAAATCAATTTGGGTCACCAAAATGTATACATTCGTATTTTGCCAAAGCCAGACCCAAACAGATATTGGACTCACATCAACATCATTGTTAAAACACCTTATGGATAAAAATGTCATTTATGAAAAAGTTACTGATCCAGTACTTCGATGTCCACAAGTGAGATATCAGGTGATAAATATTAATTTTGTCTCATAAAAGAAGTTTACTGTGGGCCTTTAAAGTCTTCGAATTTGAGGAAAAATCGCAAAAACTGTCTTTATTGCATTTTTTTTAGATCCTTGAATTAGTTGTTGGATAGTAATGAAGTTGCAATATTTGAGCCTTTTCGAATTGTATATGGGCCTGGTCATGCCTCCGCCTCTGTAGAATTATTAATGTATGCTTTCATCATTTGCCTTTTTGCTTGAGCTTGAAGTAATGATATGTGTTGCAACAAAATGGTGCAACCTGGCTGTTGTCGATTCAAGTGGATATTTCATCTGCAATTGAATTGAGATATGCACGAAGTTTATAACGCCAAGTTGTTTATGTATCAATTTTATTAAAGAAACAAAATTAAAATCAATTATTGTGTTTTTATTTATCAAAAATCATGTGTTATTTAAATTTTTCTACCTAAAAATTAAATTGTTAGGTAACAATGGGTTATTTGTGCAGTCTCTCAGTTGATGAATGCATTATGTTATTTATTGAATTCATTACACTTGGGCCTTTATTTGATCATACAATTCAAAATATAATTTAGACTTTAAATTGAATTGTATAAAGAAAATTGATATCAACTAAATTGTCACGAAATGAGAAAAAAACTATATTGAAGGCACGCTTTGTAGTAAAGATTAAAAGGCTGAACACTTAGCAGTTTATCATGTATTCTTGATCTTTATCTGCCCTTTATGTCGTAGTCAACAAAATTGCATACGCTTAAAACATATATGAAAAAAAAATCTTACAAAAAAAGACAAATGAAAAAAAATATAAAACAAGTAAGAGGTGTTCATTCATAATTGATAATTTCTATATGTCTTTTTATAATAAACATGATAAAATAATAATTTCGGGGCCTTTTTTAGCTGACTATGCTGTGTGGGTATTATTCATTATTGAAGGCCGCCGTACGGTGACCTATTTTGGTAAACTTCTATGTCATTTTGGTCTCTTGTGGAGAGTTGTCTCATTGGCAATCATACCACGTCTTCTTATTTTTATATGAAACGAAGAATGTGAATTAACTATCTATAAGAACAACTTGAGGATTACCTCTTTTGCCATTAACAACAATATTGATTTTACATCACATTGCATTGAGGTTTCTTGTTTTCCAATTTATTCTCCATATAAAATATTATATGTGCCTTTTAAGCAAAAAAGGACTTTTTTAAGCAAACCGTGTCTGCAACATACGTTTCTGTCTTTTGACAGTAAGAATATAGTTCCCTAAAAAGGGGATGTAAGATGTGTCAACCCTTCATTTCCATAAAACTTATCCCAGTTGTACAGCATTTGAATGTTGTTCTGATTACAATGCGTGACCTCTAGATGTCCTTCGGCTGTTTGTGTCGTTGGGTTTCTGTCCAATTGACGCGTACCCCACATCTCCTTCTATTCATCTTTTAAAAAGTAAAATCACAAAAATAACGAACTCCGAGGAAAATTCAAAACGGAAAGTATCTAATCAAATGGCAAAATCAAAAGCTCAAACACATAAGTTGTATCTAGACCATAATGGTAAAAGGTACTGCCTTTCCCTTTATAGAATCGTGCTAAAGGAAATAAGGTATCATTATCAGGCCTTACAGAATGGCAACAGCTGTTAATGAAATGCTACGTCTACTTTACCATCCCGTGTCTTTTTCGTAGATTTCGAAGAACAGTAGGCCACTAACGGATGCATAAATACCTGTGTCACCTTAGTTGTTGGTTAAAATTCCATCACTTCCGATGCATTTTCTCAAAGTTAAGAATTGATACATTTGAAACAGTTTTTTTTCTTTCAATACACAACTTTAGTAATTGCAGCTCTGCTTTAAGCAACCAAATATCGATCAATTAAATAGCAATATTATTATCAGTCAATTAAACAGCTATCTTATCATCAGTGAAGGTGATACTTCTGTTACAATAATAGGATAAATGATTGATGACGTTATGGCTTTTGCCTATTTGAACATTGCTGACTCGGATGTTTCGTCTTTTTAATATCGGTATCGAAAAATATCTATATTATACATGTTATAGTTGTAAAAGCGGAACAATTTATAAATCTAGAACCATATAAAACAAACAAGATGGCTGTAATTGGCGGAATTGTATATAATTTGAACTTTATCTCTTACAGCGAAATCTTCACTATGAGTTATAAGTATAACAAAGAAAATAAACTATTATTTACAGCAGCATTAAAGTCATGTAGGTGCACTAGTACATTGGAAGTTTTTAAAACGTTTGTTTTTAAACGAATTTTGTAAGTTGTTAGTAGGACTGTTTGACAGATCCATGCAGGAGACAACAATCCCAAAACACAAGTTGATAAAAACAAAAAAACATCGTAAGGTCAACCCTTCTTCAATTAATCAAGGACACGCCCCAAGTTATATCATACGGTGTAATAACATTAGGCTAACGGTACCAATGTTAAATGTCTTGTCTCAGACCCATCCAAAAAAGACCGCGAAAACTTATTAAAATGTCAACACTGGATTCTTAAAAATCATGTAAACATGAATCTCAAGGGGAGAAATAGTTGTATGCTCGTACTTTTTGTTATGCAAACCTTGTGTTGACTTTTTAAGTCTTTTTGTATTTGCTGTTGGGTCGCCGTATCGTTAACTTATATGATAGCCCATATATTCATATCGATACAACAATAACATCATTTTCACGTCTTAGGTTCACGAACATAAATTTGCAATGGTGATTAACTAGTTCTGTGTTGATAAAAAAAAGAGGATTGTACGGTGAATGAATGAGTAAGCAATTTAAAGACAAAGATATTACACAAGAAATATAGATGTCAAAGGGATTGTCTTAGCTATATATATCAATATACTAGGCTCTAAATCGGCCCAGTTATGAATGAGTTGTGAAAAAAATTTAACAAAGATTTGTCAAAAATCAACCTTTAGTATCAATTTCATTGAAGAAAAAGTATAGCTATAACTAAATAACTATATAATAAATGTTTATTTAACAGTTTGATTATTTGCAGTTGCTTTTTCTGAGGTGTACGGAAATGGATTTAGAACCTATGAGTATAGTCCACCCACAATAAATGTTACGACACCGGTTGAAGAACAGGAAATGAACCAGGGAATGTACAGTTTGAGGTCTTTTCTCTACCCACAATTCTTTGCTGTAATATTTGCCGTCTGCAAGTTCGTTGGAATACGTTTGAATTGTTACTTGGTAAATATAACTATTGATTGTTCAAATTCAAGTATTGGTATAACGGGTAGATGTGAATGAGACGCATAATTGAATACAGTTTTGCAAAAATAGACAAGTTTTTAGAGTAAATTATTTGGAGTTTTAGCCAGTTCCAAACAAGCTTAAGCGATGTATTCTAAACGTTTATTCATCTCATGTACCCGCTTATTTTAACAGGAACCAGTTTGGTTATTCCTTCAACTGGCATGAGCAACATTTAGGGATCTACAGTTTAACCTGCAATTTATCTTATGCATGCAATGTTCGTTGTTACAAATGAAATTTTTATGAGTTTTTGATGATTCGTGTGTTCTGAAAGGGAATTTATGTATATTATTGTATACAACAGAGGACATACAAGGTCATCAATAATATTCAGTTTGATCATTATTTATCAAATAATTGAAAATCAGAAATATTCTTACTCTTAAATTGAGAGGACAAATGTATTGAAGGACTTTATTGCAATAAAAGAGTGGTCAAAAATCAGTTCGTTGGTTTTCTCTTTTGACTGGTTTCACATTTTGCCTTTTATAGCTTTCTTTATGGTATGTGTTTTGCTCACAGTACGATAACCTTATAATTGCGTATATCCACGTCATTTCTTTATTTCATATAATTTTCCTTTATTTTTCCTTTAATTGTCATTGTGACTTGTATATGTATCAATTAAGTGCATTCTTCGTATTTTTTTTCCAGGTTGGACGTATTTGTCAGTCTGTAGTAACGTCATTTACTCCAGTGGCTGTGTTCAGATTCTGTAGGACTTTATTTAGGTGTAGAGGAACTGCGTCTCTAGCTGCAATATTAACTTCATTTTCATTACACATATCGGTCCTTGGAACACATACATTGGTCAATAGTTTTATTTCTCCATTCTTATTTCTTTCATTAGACATCATTTTGCAATGTGTATTAAAACCTCCGGACATTTCAGATTTTGCAAACGACAAAAGTTTAAACAATAACAGTTTTTCTAGGTATAATCATACAGAAAATAGAAGCGCTTCAATACAATGTACCATGCGCGATATTAATAGTAATTCAAAGACTCCGAAAAATTCATTGCATGGTGCAGCACTTCAAGAGCAAAAGCATTCAACAGAAGATGGTAGCATAATTAAAGAAGCGAAAACAATGAAAAGCAAACTGAAAAAGAACCATCTAGCAACCAGACACTTTACATTGGACATAAATGTAATTTTATTAAGTTTATCGGGTTTTGTTTGTGCAATAATTTGTTACATGAGGCCTGACACTATCATTTTCCTAATTGAAATAGGCGTCTCTTTTCTGTTTACATATCGAAATAATGTATCAGTGAAAAAAGTCGTATATTTAACTGGTACCGTTGGATCCGGTTTTGCAACGGGTTTAACAATAGGGGGTTTACTTGACTGGTTCACGTATGGTGTGATGTTTATTTCGCCAGCTCAGTGGTTGAAGTTAAATGTAGCCTCACATGTCCCTGCTGTATTGTATGGAACAAATAGTCCATATCAGTACATTTTAGACATTTTTGCCAGCTGTACGTCTGAGCTTTGCTTTAACATTTTCTGTCTCGCCGCTTTATTAATTATGATGACTCAAACTAAGTATATTGACTCAGGGGATCAAAAGTCAAGTTCTAGTCTATTAGTAACTCTATCATTTATGCTTATTATATATTCAGTAATCGCGCATAAGGAAATAAGATTTGTTCATAACGTTTTAATCATTGTTGAAATTTTAGCAGCGTACGCAATTCACGGGGCTTTGCAATTTATAAAAAGTTTGTTTAAATTTACCAAAGATAAAATCAGAATCGTTGTGATGGTCTTCACGATAACCGTAGGTCTAAATACTTACATGAATTTTCCTGCATATCGCGAAGAAATCATTCTGCCATGGAAAACGGTAATACCGAGCGATTCTTCAGATATCAATCAGTGCTTGTTCTTTATTAGTGAACAAAACAACGTAACAGGAGTATTTGTAGACAATTCCATTTACACGATTGCGGGATTTACCATTTTGAAACACGACGTGCCATTGCTTACTTTAATTCACCATGAATACCACGAATATAGGAGTGGAGGGTATATACCACGAACTGATCTCAGTTATACGACACCGCGAAACTTGCATGTCATAAACCGATACTCTGATATCATCGATGTGACAAATATTCACTATTTATCGAAACGTTTACTGGAAAGTCAGGAATATAATTATGTTGTTGTCCCAAACAAGAGAGTGCCGTCTTTTCGTCAACTTGGTTTTAATAAAGCTCCATTTAGCGCAGGGAGATATTCCGTCCTACAGAGATTATTGACACAGATCGAATCTACAAAATTGTCAATCGCTGGTAAAAATATGCCACTTGGTAAAAACTCTACCATTATGGAATATGAAGCTAGTTGGTTGTACACAGCAGGACTATATTCGAAGGCTATAGAACGTTTAGAAAATGCTATAGAACTAAACAATTCAAGGGTACGCCCATTTCAATTACTTGCGTCATCTTATGCAAATAAGGCTGACTTAGCAAGCGCAAAGGCGACAGAAGACAAATGCATTCTAGGCCATGGTCGAACTGCATGTCGGAAACCCCAACCAAGAATAGTGATTCACGACGACTATAAACAGTACAGTTTTAATTAAAATACGATAAAACAATACATACGGTTCTTAAAGAGTGTTCGTAAATGATAATTAAACAACAGTTACCTAAATTATCATTTTCCAAAAGATAATATTCATTAAATGTCCGATGCGTCTGAAGTGAATGAATACATTCACCTGCTATATAAAAAGTTAGAAATATAACTAGCGAATATACTTCAGTGTCATCTCACGAAACCGTCGTTCAATATCCACAATCAGCATCGCAGAATGCATTTGAATACTATACATGATATTTTAGTGGCGTTAGTAAACTTTCGTATTAATTCGTTTTATGTGTGCGCAGTATTTATACAAGGCTGGTGAAGGGAAATGTTGTGCCATTAAACGGTTTGCTTTCATCGTTTAAAAAGGAAAATACAAATTATATATTTTATATTACATTCATCAGGTTTTTTCACTTTTGTTTTTTTTTCCTTTTTATCAATTTTATACTAGTTTATATGTGATATCTTTTTACAATAACTTATACTTGGCAAGGACGGATTTTTTTAATTTTTAATTGTCGCAATTCGTCATACGATGTCAGCTTTAAATGTTTAGGCAATCAAAATGCTAATATTTAAATTATTTAATGTTATTTATATTTTTATATATTGTTACGTTTTGAGTGACAAAAAAATGAAACACATATTGTTTTTGTTGTTGTTGTTATTGATTATATTCAATAAATTAATCATATTTCATTAACATAAAAAGGAAAATAACAAAAATACCAAACGCTAAGGAAAATTCAAAACGGAAAGTCCTTCATCAAATGGCAAAATCAAAAGCTCAAACACATCAAACGAATGGAAAACAGCTGTCATATTCCTAACTTGGTACAGGCATTTCCTTATGTAGAAAATGGTGGTTTAAACCTGGTTTTATAGCTAGCCAATAATGCAGAATAATCACAGAGTCTTCGTAGATAGGAAGAGCATGATACGATCTAATGTAAACAAAATATTGTTGGTTTAAAATTCAAAACTGACATTCTTTTGATTTTTGAGTTTACAATATCGAAGTTTCGAACATGAAGATATCAAAATCAGTAATTTACCTGAACATGCATGGCATATTTCCCACTGGACGTTAAGCAAGCAAAGATAAAACAATCAATCGAATAATTAATTCCTGCGCGTTAAGTCTACCAGATGTGAATCACCCCTGACCTGCACAGTGGGGAATACTTGGATGGTAAATGGGTGTATATACAAGTTGCTTCCAAGACAAAAGATTACATTCAATTAAAAGATTCCAAAACACATAACGCACAGATAAATTTGCTCTTTCCGAAGGGAAATAACTCGCACAAATGGATCTTTTTTACAAAGTCAATTATTTTACGGAATTGGCAAATGCCTATCAAGTAATGTTCAGTCTATTTATTGTGCGTTACAAGAACGAATGAATGTACAACAGTACAAATATCTGAACAGTTCTAAATTATCTACCAAAGGAAAGATCAATAAATTAAAACAAATATGAAACTAGTTTCAGAATTTCACCATGAAGCTCAGTACATTTAAGTAAATCCAATACTAGCATGCTTTAATTTCGACAAGTTTTCAGGAAGTAAATGTTATGTTGTTTGATTGTGCATAGAACATGCAAATTATATAAGTTGCTCTTGGATTGCCAATATTGCAAAACGTATCTAATGCACAAGGGAAATTTGAAAATTGATGAAGTATTTACTTTCAATGATTGTTGGAAATTTCACAAATTATGAAGCATTCACAAATGACAGATACCAAAGAAGTCTATACTTTGATGTCATGCTTTATATTGTGTTATTGTCAAGTTACTGCTCCAATATTCAGTTGTTCCTTAACAAATCATTCCGATGAAATTTGCAAAATTTTTCATAGAATAATACATGTCATGCATGCTTCGTTGATAGACCTTTATCCATCCAACAGTCCAACAGGCTTAAAAAATAAAAAGATTAGTCTACGTTTTGATATCTCGAATTCAAAAATTGATCTATGGAATTTACATCTTCAGATGTTCAAGTGCAACATTCATTGCAATGTTTAATGTATAATTTATTTTCGAAAGTCATGTTATAATTTTAACTTTCAATCTGACAAACATTCCTCGTAATGACAAAACGAATAAAAACAAATACCAAAGGCCCATAAGAAACCACTTGTCGAAATAGAAAGACACAAAGACCAACAGAAAACCGACGAAAACAATACAGTGCAACAAAACACTATACAGAAAACCTAAAGATTGAGCAACATGAGCACCGGCTGAGACCAGTTTTAAACTCAGGTGCTCAGAATGGACTAGCAATTCCTTCACCACAAGCGGGATTCGTCCTGTTATACCTCTGAATAATTATAGCATGTATTGAACGCGCTGTTCAAACGGTTGACTGTGGTATATATATAGAAATATTGCATCCCTGGACTTCTCCCACCGAGCAGTAAAACCCTGGCTGAAGTTGGGAATCCGTTTTACTCTGTGGGATGTATAAATACACAGTCACGGCCGGTCATAATGGACTGATGTACACTTCGTGTAATGTGGGTGCCACGCTCTGCACGTTAAAAAAATCCCTTTCAACAATTTTTAAATGGGTCCGTAAGAGGCAGGCAAAAGTACAGGCCTTTTCCAACATATCCTCATTAACCAGGGGCAGTTCAGAAACTACCTACTGAACCATTGAATAATTCTCGTTCTGAATATACTTGAATTAATACCCACTGACGATCAGCAAACAATAAATCAATCGTGTATTGAAAGCATAAGAAAATACAATTTTATGCAAAATGCAAATTGATTTTGTTTAAATGTAGGCAGTAGAGGGAAGATTTTAATTAATTATGAGAGTCTGGATGAAGTTCACTGGAAAATATAGAATAGAGAAAAATGGCAAACAGTTAAGGAATAAAGAATAATGGGTGCTAAGATATAAAGAAATAGAGGATAATAGGCCAAAGAAATAATGAGCAGAGAAAACTGGCCTAAAAAATTAAGAATGCATAAATGAAAACACGCCCAACCTGACCCACGGTTACGCTTGTGTCATATGATATTTTTCTTGCATTTGTAAATAGATGACAATATTGATAAATTATAACTAATATTTTAATTCTCATGGGAAAATCGTGTCAAACTTTAACTTTTAAGACCAATTTATTTTCAACGTATAATATAAATTTCCCAAATGATCAATCATTTAAATCAGAGACCATTAATTCTCCAAATATGATTACACGATTTTCCTTTAAAATGACAGGTAAATTGTGTCGTATTTTGAAAAAGCACAAATTTTAGTTATAGCGTGCAGTAATTAAATTAATGATTATTGTTACGAATGGATGATAAAAATTCGTTCTATAATACAGGATCATACAGACCCAATAAAGTTTTTTTTATACCTGTATCTCAGATTACCTCGAAGTCTTGCCACTACCAAAAGAAACTGATAACTTGATTCAATTGTACATGTCTTCAACAAGTTACTGGTTAAATTGTTTATTACAGTTCGGAAAAGACTGACTTCGCCTCTGGTTTCTAGTGGAGATCGTCCTACTCTATTCTGATGTGTAATGCTTTGTAGACAATTAGCTGCTGTTTCATCTTTTGCTCTCTTTTCGTCAGCGTATTTTACCGATCCTTTGATTTTCGTTGATTGGTTCGTAAAAGATGCACACTGGACATAACATTAAAATTGCCGACAATTTCTTTTGAAAAAAGACTCCGAATTGAGGAAGTAAAGAGTTGCATTTATTTAAATATGGTACGCAAGACGCACTAATATGCTTAGTGCCAAAAGTTCAGAAGTCTAATTATGCACACAGAGGTTTAAAAGCACATGTTGTTATAAAAACAGGCAATTTTGTTAAATATAGAACATCAATTATAGGGAAACCAGGATAGAACCTAAAATCTTATTCGAAATCTATTGTTTAAATCACGGTGCACTCAGACTAAAAAATAGTCACATTACCAGCAGTGAATTATCTGTATTGAAATCGTATACGTTTGTGTATATCTAAAAAGATTATATAATATGTGCATATATGTAGGAGATATATGAGAAATGTTCTAAAGATAGGATTTGACGTATCACTTCATGGTCATAAGGCATGTACGAAACCATGCTTGTTAAAAAAAATTAACAGACTTCCCTTGATAAGCAATGCAATAAAAGATGTATTTATACTTTAAAAAAAAAGTTTAATTGGCGAAAAATATATAACTACCATAATTTTGCTATTATGACATATTTTGTTTCTATTTGAAAGAATAACAGATGTCGTACTTAAGTATTTATTCGATATTGAAAATCACACTTTATAAATTGGTGCATCCGATGCGCTTTTCTGGATTTATTTTTGCTACGATCGCTTAAACTAAAAAAAAATGAGTGCCAAGGATTTGTATCAACTGCATTCTTGGAAATAGTTCCATATGGAACTCCGACTGATTAAACTGCTAAATGTCATTGTTTTCAATTAGTATGGTGGGTTCGTGTAATGACACGTAAGCCCTGTCCATGTAAAACTTATTTTGTGAACAAAAGTTTGACATTTTACATCTTTGAAATACAAACTAATCAACTATTTGGCATGAGTCCAATCTTATATTCAAAAGTTAATTTACAACTTCAAGTGTCAACAAAATTATCGCATTGGTACTTTAAGTTAATGTTCAAAAATTTATTAATTTTTTTTAAAACTTGTTCAAGCCTAAATGTGAACAAGGCCTCAGTCTTGTCAAGGAGTTCAGAATATAACTTCCTCTAGTTTACGAATAATTTGTTATTTTAACTATTTTATGTTACATTTTCATTTTACATGCCCTTATTCGTGACCGTCAAAACGAAGCCTATTCCCTGTAAGTTCATTTAACTAATGATGATGAAACTGAAACCCGAATAAAAGTATCCGAAAATAAAAAAATAAAATACTTCTGAAAAAAATAGAAAACTATCCTTTTCTCTTAAAATTACCACAAAACCCCACAAAAACTAAAACTGACGTTGATTTATGATTATGCAATCGCAGCACTCCATATCTTTTTTGAAATATACTTGTACATTTTTACTTAAATTTCAGAATCTGTTTTTTTTTTTCTATGCAAAGATGCAACTGATGTTACATACAACACATACAGTATTGTAACCTTTAGTTATGTTTTGTACAACAAAGGGAATCATTTTAACCATGGAAACAGCGTTTTTGTTTCTATTGTTACTGGGGTGTATTTGTTTTCCTGTACAATACTAACCTTCAATGCGATCCCAATGATACTTAATTACGAGTTGACAATGTTGTTAAGGAAATACTCAATGCAAATCTCGGTGCATCTGTTGGACGTGTTTTAGTCAGTAAAACTGTTATTTGTTAAGTTAACAAGAATGACTATGTGTGGATACCGACAAGTAATCATCACACAGTTACCGTTTTTGACCACAATGAGGGATGTGAGAGTTCATTCATTAGTGTTCTCTTATACAAGATTTAAACATCTACCGATTGGATTGTCTGTTTTATTGCGATGATCAGCGGTTTACGTATCACGTTCTATACCAATATCTTAAGAGTATTATGTTGATTGTTACGGTTCGTCATATGAAGTCAGGTTTAAATGTTTAAGCAATCAAATTTTAATATTTAAAGGGGAATTAAAATATGATTT